GAAAAAGTATCCAAGAGGCATGTGGAAGAGGGTCAGGCCTTTAAAGTTCCTTCTAGGAGGGCTCACAGTGGTGGACCTGACAAAAATACTCTAAGTCCTCTTGCCACCTATTCTGAGACACAATTGACCTGCTTTGGGAAGTACAGGCCACGCTTCCAAGCAAGCCAGGAAATGGAAGGGAGGAGTGTAAAGCCACCTCTATCAGATGCCCTGAACCTCTGTACACATCTTGTAGACCTCTGCTCCTTACAGCTGTTTGAAGGATGCTTGCTGTAACCCACTCTGCATGTCATACTTCCTTATCTTTTCCTTCTTAGCCTTTAACCTGAATGAATGGTTGCAACAAACGGTACAAATGGATTTGTCTCTCACTCCCACTGTCCCAAGAGTGCACCCTTTCCACTGTACCCACCCATTGTGGTTGAGATGCCTGGAGGACACCTCTGGCCCACCCAGGGCCTAGGGCAAAGGATCTAAGCATATAGTGAAGGCCAAAGTCCAGTCTGTCCTTCCACTGTCTGCTGTTTCAAAGTGCATTGTGTGTCTCATTTTTAGCATTGACACCCTTGGCCCCTGTGCTAACCATACATGAACACACTTTCAAGACAGATGTTCCACTCTTGGCTTCTTTTATTTCCCTCAACAGGCTTTTGAGCCCCAGGCTTCAATGTTCAATGATGCTCCCTGGGCTCTCACATTTACATGTTTCTTGGTGTGCTTAGGCAAGAAGCCGGGGCAAGTGCTCTATCACTGAGTTACACCTCAGCCCTGTACCCATCTCAGTCCTTTGAGTTCATATGACCTAAAAAAGATGTTCTCTCAGATCTCAGAAGGCAGAACCCTCCCTTTGGACTAGCAGTGGTGGATGATGGGGCTGTTCAAACCCTAAAAAGGGCTCTGTCTGCCCACATTTACTCCAGTTTGCTCAACTCCCCTTCTCAGGACCTCTGCAGAGCATAGCACAGGAGAGAGTTGATAAAGCTCCCTAGGGGTTAGGACAGGTAACCCTCCCCCTAACAGTGCCCCCACACAGTGCATAGCACCTAGAAATCTAAGATTTCCTTTCCCACTGATTATCAGCAGTTCCTCTCTCTCCTTGGGACTCAGTTTCCACTTTGTAAATTGAGCTGATTGTACAAGATAACCTGACTGTGACTGCTATTTTAGAATTCTCCCATGTGCTGTGTGCCTGTCACACTGCCCAGGAGTCTTACTGGCCTTACTTGGTGTTATTTGTGTGCTGCCCTCTGGGCCTATCAGCTTGGTGCTTGTCACTTGGCCCATGGGACAGTGAGGATAAGGCCGCATTTCTAGGCATTATAAAAGTAAAGACATTGTTATACTCTGGGTCTTTTGGATTTTATTTTTTACTTCCTGTGATCAAGGCTTTTGTAAACAAAATGATGGAGTTTAAAGAATTGCAGCCTTCCCTCTCCTTTATTCTAGGTTTAAAAGGCCAGCAATGACAGACTGAGATAAGATATTCTAGAGCCTGAAGCTTCCAGGATCTTGTGGTACAGAACATATCTTACAGTATAGTGATTAGTGGCTGAGTTTTTCTTAGCCCATGAACCCAATGTAATGAGGAGGAGAGTAACTAGGTCCTGGAAATTGCTTGGTCCCTTTCTTCCTGACTATGGTGCATTGAGTTGTGTTTCTCAAAAAATCTGTCCATGTCCTCACCCTGAAATCTGTAAGGGTGGCCTTATTTAGAAAGGTCTTTTCACATTTGTAATCAAGCTAAGTGAGGCCACTATGGTGGGCTCTGATCCACAAACTACTGTCCTTGTAAGAGAAGAAACAGGCAGATATACACATATGACAAGGCCACATGAAGACAGGCAGAGGTAGAGACAAGGGTCTACCAGTCAAGTAATATCTAGATGGGTAATACCAGAAAATATAAGAAAGGTCTGGAATGCATTCTTAGGGACCCTCAGAGGGAGCTTGACCTTGCTAATGTCTTGATTTTAGACTTTAGGCTTCTAGAACTGTGAGAGGATAGATACACTTCTCTTTTTCCCCCCTAGCCAGTGTGGGGATGTCTGCAAAAACAGCTCCAAGACATACAGACCTTGCCCTAATTCCCCAGGCTCCACTGCTGTGTTGTGTTCTTGCTCCCAGCCATTTGACTAAGGACAAATTCATGCTTTATGGGCATTATCACATCTTATCTCTTCATGTGGAGCCATTTGTGTAGATAGGGAATCTGTGTTGTCTAGATTTCCTCAGTCTTATGATTCAAGCTGTGCTGCTTGCCTTTTTGCTGTGGAAGCAGAGGCATAAGGAATTTTTGGAACCATGTTACTTCTTTTTAGCTCTTGCCCTGGAAAACTGTCCTCTGGTGCTAACAAATTGAAAAGGATACTATATGTACAAGATTAATAGAAATACAATGATGAGGGCCTGAAAGATGGTTCAGAGGTTGGGAGACTTGCTGTTCCTCCAGAGGATCAGAGTGAAGTTCCCAACTGCCCATAGCTCCGGGAGATCTGATGCCCTCTTCTGGCCTCCACAGGCATTTCACATGCATGCACATATGCATATCCACATCAGTAGAAATAAATCTTAAAGAAAGTAAAAGAAATATGAAGAAAAGTTGAGGACAATATGCAGAGTGCTGTAGAAGGGACTCATAGTGCTGTGACCACAGAACTATCTATGGGGCTCTTCCTGTCCCAAAGGGGGGTGCCAGAGAGCATGGATGTCTACACACAGGCATTCAGAGGGATCTGGAGAGGGTAGGAAACTAAGAGTAAGTGAATGTGAAATGATGGAATTTGTTTTTGTGGCTTTAGTACAAAGAGGAATTCAATGATCAGAACAGAACCCAGGTACATTAGTGATGAGATTGTAAAATGCACAGATGCTGTAGAAAAACAGTCTGATGGGGCCTTAAAAAGTTAAACATAGGCTGATGAGGTAGCTCTGTTGGTAAAATTCTTGCCTTGCAAGAATCGGGACCTGAGTTTGTTATTCAGAATTACTGTAAAAAGAAAAAAAGCCAGGTGCTTATAATCCCAGTACTAAGAATGCAGAGATGGAATGATCCCTGGGGTTACTCGGCCAGCCGGACTAGCCTAATTGCTGAGTTCTGGGCCAATGAGGGACCCTGTCTCAAAAAACAGGATGAATAGTATATTAGGAATGATACTGGAGATTCTCCTTTAGTCTCCACCTTACACACACACACACACACACACACACACTTACTTGTGCATGTGGCCATTCACACCTTTACATGCATACACATACATGTACACATGTATGCACACATTCCTGACCTTTCAGGACATGATGTTCAGTGAAATGAGCCAGTCACAAAAGGACAAATACTTCTCTCATCCTACTTCTAAGAGAGTCTTATATGAGAATGCTGCAGTCAGATTTGCTGACAAACAATTGAATAGGGGCCTGGGCAGGCATAGTGGGAAGTTGGTGGGAAATGGCACGGAGTTTAAGTTTGGAACAGCTTAAAAGTTCTGAACACAGGATTGCCACAATTCTGCCATTGACCCATCCAAGGACATTAGCCTGGATATTCGCATCAGGCTTTATCTGGTCAAATCAGACAGAGCCAGTGTTCCTTCTTGTTATAGAACTCACCAGGGCAGCAGTCCACAGGGAAGATCATGCCTGTGGCTTTTCTTTCTTTGGCTCAGTGGCATGCAGGTATCTTTGTTTGGTTCCACATGGAAAGTTACCAAATAATAAATTGCAATGTGACCCAGACCAAGATTGTAGGAGGCATTCATTTTTTAATACACAGAAATTTTGGTTTATTCTTTAAATTAAGAAATTCAACTACAGACTTTAATTTATTATGCATCTGTGGTCTTTCTCATTAAGATATTTTGTTCATCTTTATAACAGGCAGATAAAAATGTAAAACATATTTATGAACTGAACACAGTTGACCAAGCCATTCCGTATAGTATAATGCTTTATAAAGAGAAGCTTCCGATGAGACAGGTTCTTGGCCTGAAGACTGTACAAGAACCAGAACAGATGATGCAGGTTCCCAGAGCCTTTTCTGAACCCCACAGCTCAGTACAAAGGCAGCCCGGGTATCACACAGTTGACACTGACATCAGGCAACTTTACACAGCAGCATTGAGGGTTGGCTCTTTAATATATATAGTGGCCATTTGCTTTGTCTGTGTGACTACAACAGAAGATGACAAGAAGCCCATGAACATAGCTGGACACAGCTGACCCACTTCAACTGCAATACTCCCCATTTTGATTTCTTGTTGAAGAACACAAAGACCCTCAGCAAGCCAAGTTGCCCTTTTGTTGTGGTAGTTTAAACAAGGACATCAGGGAACAATTTACAAATGGGAAACATTCTCAATATGCCCTTTAGAAAAAAAGGGATGGCTTTAAGTGGTCTGTAGCTGGCATTTTAAAGTGGAGTTTCTCTTGTAACTATAATTCTTTTGCCCGAGATATGACTACTTCTGCTCAGGGGTGACATGGCATTGGTGTGACCAGTGAAGACAAAGCACATTTTCACTTGATTTTGTGTGGATGCCAGGGAGCTGAGACAAGCTTTTTGTAAGGTGGTATGAGATGGGAGTGGGGTAAATGCAGCTCCTGAGGGTGCCTGTCCTTACCCTCCATCTCTTAGATTACATCTGTCTCCTGGCAGAAAATCTCAGGCCCAGGTGACAGGCATTCGTGGGAGTGGAGTGAGATTCTAGACATCTTCCTGCAAAGTGTGACACCCATAAGTTCAGAAGGTGAAGGAACCTCAAGGGCAGGATACTGTCCATTTCACTGGTGTCATTGTGGGTGTCTACATACAGGAACTAGGAGCACAGGGACGGTCAGCTTTCCAATAGGAAGATTCATTACCTTGGGCTTCCCTGTAGGGCAGCAGACATTAGACACCTTTCCTCTTCTTTCTTCCCTCAGGTTATCACTCAGGCTTGGTACAGTGGGTGCCCACACTGCTGGGATAGGCTCCTGGAGCCTATATCTGGTTTTCCTAGCCTCACCTGCATAGGTGGCCTCAAGCCCTGCGGACCCTGTGCTCAGTTCCCACAGGCCCAGAAGAGCCACCAGCAAGAAAAGAGCAATGGCAACAGTGATGAAGGCCATTTTTCCAAGTGGTTCTGTTTCCATAGTGTTGCCTTCTGGGTTGTGTTTGCTCCGTGGGCAAGAAGATCTGGGTTGGAAGCATGCTTTGGTGGGTGGCACACCCATGCCCTGTCAGACATGGAGGTGGTCTACTAAGTACTCCCTGTTATTTGCCAAAACACAAAGTGCAAGTCTAGAGGAATGACAGAGATGAACCTGAACTGTCCTTGCAGTTGGGGTTTTCATTTTGATGACCCCTCTTCCTCAGTTGGCCTCTGTAGAGGTTAGGCCTGGCATCTGTCTCTGCTCTATTACAGCTGTTCCTAGGGTTCTTCATGCTTTCAAAGCTGGACAAAGAAAGCCACCAGCCAAAATGAAGGTGTTGGAAATGAAGTGGAAGGAAGCCAAACCAAAACTTGCTTTGCTTCATACTAGAGGGGACCACTGTCATCAATACTTTGGTATTTTCCTTTGAAATAAAAAATGCTATTGAAAAGTCTTTTTCCTCTACAGGTAGAGGTCGCAAAGTGCAAAGGTTCTAAGTGCAATGCTTCTAAGACTTGCACAACACTCCCCAGACTGCCTCCTCTGGAATCTCCGCAGGGTCATGCATGGAGATTCTGTGGTCAGAGGCTTGGGGAGGGAAGTATGGTACCAAGAGGATGTTCTTGCAATCTTGTTCTCTGGAAAGAACCTTACTACATTCAAAAATGAAACTTTGAAAGGAAAAATGCCTGGTGAGAGGGATGGAAATATCATGCTGATAAATAATTCCTTATTCTTGAAATATTCATTTTGCCATATATATGTATATGCATATGTATACACATACATATAGACATGCACACACATGTGGTCTGCAGATGGGTTTAGTGTGCTTTGCAGTAGAAGGTACCTTTTCAGGTGGCTCCCTCTGGTGGCCTCTTTGCGCGCGCGCGCGCGCGCGCGCGCGCGCGCACACACACACACACACACGCGCGCGCGCGCGCGCGCGCGCGCGCGCGCGCGCGCGCAAGGCTCCATGTAGGCTCAGCTAGCCCCTACCATGCTGCACAGCCCAAATAGTGAACACATGGTGGAACTAGTGTTTGTTAAAAAAAGAAGCATCAGTAGAAAAAAAAAAGGTGGAAAGCACATTTAGTTTCATGCTCTCTCTTTTTTTTTCTTCTCATTGGGTGAAGAACTTCCTCTCCTTCCTTTTCCTTCTTCCTCCTTCCTCCACCTCCTGAGAGCCTTGTGAGAAGCCTAGTGGTCTGTGCCATTATTAAATTCAATTCACTTCTTACAAATACAGCATAAGAAAAGTCTTTAATCTCTTTAGCAGATTTTTCCTCTTTGGCAGGTGCACAGTTCCCCTCTCTGTGTGTACATACACATATCTGTGCATGTGTGACTGCGTATATGTGTGTCTGTGTGCGTGTGTGTGCACATCTGTGTGCTGAGAGAAGTTCTGGTTAGAGGGATGTTTCCATGCTGTGGAGTGGGCTTTCAGGCCTAGAAGAAAATGCTGAAGAGGTAGCTGACTTGGTGGCATGCGTGGTCAGGTAGATGCCGCTGTCTATGGCATTGTTGTTCTGGTTAGGGGGTGAGGGAGGTGGGGCCCTCAGGCGCTCTTCATTCTCATCCACATCCGTGTCATCGATGAGCGGGATGTTGTGGGTGTAGTCATTGATCAGAAACTCGGGCGTTGCCATGAAGTTATGGATGCAGCTCTTGGATTCTGGTTTCTCAAGGCCTTCATAAAGCGAGCTACGGAATGCTTTCACCACCCGGATCTGAAGTGGAGGGGGAGGGATAGACCCCACATGAGAAAAGGGAAGGGCAAGGAAGGGAAGCAAAGGGAAAGGAAAGGGGAGCGGAGAGGGGAGAGGAGAAGGGAGGGAGGGGAAAGGAGAGGAGACAGTCAGTGGGTACCTGGTAAAGAAAGTTGTGCACACATCACAGGCTGGCACATTTCATAATGAATGTTCACACACTGGGGAACCTGTAAGGAATGGGGTGGCTTTGCTGGACTGTGGTAAGGGCTTACAGGTGTGGGCCTTGGTGTTGAAAACATCTTGACCTGGATAGATATCCTGGAATAAGAGGCTGCTGCCTGCTACCTTCTTGGTCCTTGCCCTGGGAACAGAAATGGCTTAGGTGATACCTGAGTTTTTTCTTCATTTTGAATTCCAATTTGGTAGAAGACATTCTGAGATTCTCCAAAGAGTGTGCCAGTGCCCACTTCTGCACCTGCATCTTAGTCTTTCCTTCAGGGACACACCACACACTTGAACTCCCATTTCTGAAAACATCTCAAGCCTGTCTGACATTGTTGTTCCTGCCTGGCCATCTTTCACTTTACCAGCTACTCTGAAATCACTTCATCTACTTCTCCTTTGTCTTGGGATGTGCCAATCCCAAAGCTCTGGACTGTCCCTGCTACTCGTCCTCTCTGTCCACATCTCTTTATAGTGGTGAAACCTATCTAGGAGTATGGCACTGACCTTTCCTAAGAGGTCTGGGCCTAAGAGTCCACTGGCCCTAACCTGGAGATCACGACTGAAAATGCCCACACTTGGATTTGCATGTACCAAGCCTGCTCCTATCCAGCTGTATTGTTCTACCAATTATACTCATGGTCTTCTTACAGCTCTGGGTCATAACTACATGTGTGTCATTGAGTCTAATTAAATACTTGGTGCCAACAGCAGCCCTTTGTAATCTACCTTTCTGTCCCCTCTTCTCCAAACTACCCCCCTTTTCTTCCTCCTCATTAAGCTTCTGTGCAGACATCCCTGTGCTTTGCCACATGCTCCTTGATTTCAGTTCACAACAGCATTATATTCTGCAAGAAGAGCTTTCCACAATCCTTGGACCTCCCACCACTTTTGATACATGCTCTGAGCCAATCTGGCACCCCCTTCAGCCACCTGCATCTCTTGCAGAGTATAATGAACTTGCCTGAGAATCAGCCTCTCTCTTCTCTTGCTTTTCTATGGTCACTCACAGACTGACTCCAGTCTCATTATCTTTCAAGCCACAGAACAGCTGCCTCTCTGATGTCTCCTGGCACCACATGTGGGGCTCCTTTCTGCTTCTAGAGCCACAGGCCAATGGATAGTCCTCTACTAGATTTCACATAAGCCAGTGCCTGCACTGCTACTCATATCAACTGGCCCTATTACAAACACAAAGCCAGCCCCTGTGGCCTCCAGGTAGTGTAGAGGACAGTGGAAGGACTGCCAATTCTCCGGGAGGATAACTGGGTTCCCCAGCTTCAGTTAGTCTCTTCCTGTGTGAGGCATTCTAAGTCATTTCAAGGAGCTATGATTTGATTTTCATAGTTTAGGTAACATATCTGTAAACTCTGGCTAAAAGGTGAATACTTCTGGTTTTGTAAGTAAAGTTTATTGGCAAGCTGCCATTCCCATTCATCTGCATACTATCCGTGGCTGCTTTCACACTACCAGGGCAAGGTTGTACAGTTACAACAGAGACCTGGCCTGAAAAGCTAAATATGTTTTCTTGTTGGCCCTTTATAGGAACAGTTGACAATGAATCACCTGGGTTACAAGTCCCTTTCAACCCTCCAGTCAAGACCTTAGGGCTGACAACTCAGCTAGGTCAAGCACAGTGCTCCTAAATCACTTTAAATGAGGCAAACCTCACAGTCTTGGAATGCAAAGAAGTGAGCCAAAAGGCTTTAGAAAACTGGGGTTTCCTAAATCCACATCTGAGGTCCAGTTAGGATTTTTTTCTGTCAGATTGTTGATTGCTAGCTGTTCTTCAAGCTACTATTTTCAGACTGGTTGCTTAAATAGAGTTAACATAGGAATTGAAACCATTGCCAATTTTAATTAGAAGAAAATAATTGTTTCTAATGCCAATGATTAATGCCATTAATTAGGTTTTCTAGGGCAACACTGGAATGATGGTGCTGGGGACATCACCTAGCTCCAGCTGTCAGCCATAACATTATGTCACAAAAAAAAGAGAATGAGTTGCACATTGTTGCCCTTGACTCTGGGAGAATCTATTAAGTATTCCAGCAATGCCCAGGTGACTGATCACATCATTCTCCTCAATTGGACCTCACATGGTCAAGCCAGACACATGTTCAAACGTATCCATGGTTTCAGCTGCACCTGGCTCTACTCCAAAGTCTTTCCCTGAGATGTGTCAGTCACAAGGCAATCATCATGTGCTGTCCTCGCCGTTTGCAGGTACTGGTCTATTCCCTTTTCTTACTCCTTCTGCCAGATTCAGGTACAGAGTGCCCAATCTACCAATACCTGGGGATCACATGCATGACATGTGTGAATGAGTGCTGTGCCTCTTGTTCAGGGGGCCACCCACTCCACTGTTTTGAGTCATCTTGAGGGTAACATCTGAGAGTGAGTCAGCTTTTTCTCCAGCTTCTTTCTTCCCTGCTTTGAAATATGGGACTAGAACAAACTGGTATGTAGTTCATCTTATTATTGGGGTATTTTCAGACACCCAAAGGGTGTGAGGGCACAGACATCTGTTGGGAGACTGGTCTGGGAAAAGTAGCAACTGCCTGGAAGAGTGGTCTGTTCTGGAAGGTGGGGCTTGTGCCAGGTGCCTGCAGGTATCTCTAAGACA